AGGAGACACAGGTTGGATCCCTCGGTTGGAAAGATCACCTGGAGGAGGGCATGGCAACCACCTCGGTATTTTTCCCTGGAGAATCCCATGAACAGAGGAGACAGGCAGGCTACAGTCCACAGGGTTGCAAAGAATTGGACATGACTGAAGCAATTTAGCAAGCATGATCATATATAGAGAAAATTCTAAAGACTCCATGTACACACACACACACACACACACACCTGTTAGAACTAATCAACAAATTCAACACAGTTGCAGGATACAAAATCAACATTATGTTGCATTTCAATACACTGACAATGAAATATCTGAAAAAGAAATATAGAAAAAAAACCTCATTCACAACAGCATCACGGACAATAAAACATTTAGGAATAAATTAACCAACAAGGTAAATGATTTATTTATACAGTGAACAGTACAAGATTTTGATGAAATAAATTGAAAGACACTAACAAATTGACATATATCTTGTGTTGATGGATGAGAAGTATTAACATTGTTCAACTGTCCACACAACACTAAGCCATTTATAGATTCAGTGCAAGCCCTATCAAAATTCCAATGGCATTTTTTCACAATCTAAAATTCATTTGGAACCATAGAAGATCTCAAATAGTCAAAACAATCCTAAGAAGTAAGAACAAAGCTAGAGGCATCACACTTTCTGATTTCAAAGTACATTATAAAGCTCTAGCAATAAAAACAGTATGGTACTATTATAAATATTGACACAGGGACCAATGGAACAGAATCAAGAGCCAAAATAAACCCTAGCATATACAGTCATCTCATATTTGACAAGGGAGCCAAGGAAAAGACAGTCATTTAATAAATGGTGTTGAGAAAACTGGATAATCACAAGCAGAAGAATGAAACTTGATCACTAACACCACTCACAAAATTTGACTCAAAACAAATTAAAGACTTAAACACAAGAACTAAAACTATATGGCTGCTAGAACCATGGGCGACTAAGCACACGTGCCACAGCCAAAGAGAAGCCCGAGAGCGCAACGAAGCGCTACGACACATGACACTGCATGCTGCAGCTAAGGTCTGAGGCGGGCAAAAATTAACCGGTTAAGTAATTAATCTTTTAAAATCTAGAAGAAATCACAGAATAAAAGTTTCTTGACATTGGTCTTGGCAACAATTTTTTGGATACATCAAAAGCATAGGCAACACAAAAGCAAAAATTAGTAAATGAGACTTCATCAAACTAAAAAGCTTCTGCACGGCAAAAGAAAACAATCAACAGAATGAAAAGGCAGCCTACAGAATGGGAGAAAATACGTGAAAGTCGCAGAGCTGTTAGGAGACTAATATCCAAGATACATAAAGGATTTATACAACTCAATAGCAAAAAAAAAATTATCAATCTGGCTTTTAAATGGGCTGAGGAATGGGATAGACATTTTTCTGAAGAAGACATACAAATGATGAACAGATACATGAAACAGTGCCTGACACCACTAACCATCAGGGAAATGCATATCAAAACCACAATGAGATGTCACCTCACACCTGTTAGAATGGCTCTCATCAAAACGACAAGACATAACAAGTGCTGACAAGGACGTGTAGAAAGGGAACTCTTGTGCACTATTGGTGGGAATGTAAATTGGTACAGCTGCTGTGGGAAACAACATGGATGTTTCTCAAAAATTAAAAATAGAACTACCTTAATTCAGCAATCCCACTTCTGGGTATACATCCAAAGAAAATGAGAACAGTATCTCAAGGAGATAGCTGCACTCCCATGTTCATTACAGCATTATTCACAATAGCCAAGATACAGAAACAATCTAAGTGTCCGTCAGTGGATGAATGGATAAAGAAGAGGTAATATGTTTTTTTCACACAACACAATGGAATATTGTTCAGCTATGAGAAAGAAGGAAATCCTGCCTTTTGCAATAGCCTGAATGGATTTTTGAGGGCATTATGTTAAGTGAAATAAGTTAGATAGAAAAACAAATGCTATATGATCTCATTTATAGGTGAAATCTAAAAGTCAAACTCACAGAAACAGAAAGTAGAATGGTGGTTGCCAGGAATCAGGGGTGGGGGAAATGGCGAGATATAGGTCAGAGTCCAAACTTCCAGTGATAAGATGAGTATGTTTGGGGGATCTAATATACAGTATGATCATTACAGTTAATAATACTATATCAGATACTTGAAAGTTGCCAAGACAGTAGATCTTAAATGTTCTCACAACAAAAAAGAAATAGTTATTATGTGACATGGTGGAGGAGTTAGCTAACACTATGGTGTTACTAAATTTGCAATGTATAAGTGTATCAAATCATCACATTTACACCTTAAACTTACATGGTATTATGTACCAGTTATAGCTCATAAAGCTGGAAGTACATAAGGTGATTGTCTTTTTATGAACCTACGTGGGAAATGGCTTACTGTTAGTAGCACTGTTTGGGGGTAAAATGTGGTCTAACTTTAAAACTAACAAGGTCAAAATAAACATTTGGAATCTAATTGTACAAATAGAACTTCTCTGGTGGCCCAGTGCTTAAGACTCTGCACTCCCAATGCACGGAGCCCGGGTTCAACCCCTGGTCAGGGAACTAAATCCGTGTGCTACAGCTAAGAGTTTGCCTGCTGTAACGCAGATGGAAGATTCCACACGCCACAACTAAGACCCCATGCAGCCAAATAAATTAGTAAATAAATAAATAAATAAAAATACATAAATGACTAACGTTTTAAAAAGAATAAAAAAAATAAATTGGACAAATCAACTCTGTATAACATACATAGTAGGCACTGAATGAATGATTAAATATTTTAAAGAAAACAAAACAAAGAGGACAGATCTACCTCCTGGTCTGTGTCCCTGAGCCACTCAGACACAAAGGAGAGGCATAAACACACATAGACATGACCAGACACACCAACACAGCCGCCCAAGAGCAACGAGGCCAGGGCCGGCAGCACGTGGGAGAGGACAGTCAGCTCAGCCAAGGCAGCAGGGGACAGACACTAGGCTGAGTGCCTGCAGGAGCAAGCAGTGGGCCCTGTCGGGTAGGCTGAGCTCAGAATCCAACTGATAACGATATTCAGTGAGATGCCCTTCAAGGCCTCTCCTGTCCATAGAGTAAGGTATCAGTCAGATACGGCAGCCCTACTTAGTCCTCACGCTATAAAATGTTAGTACTCTTTCATAGCTACATACTGGAAATACATTAACTTCTTCCCTTTTAAAAAATTTTAATTGCAGTATAGCTGATTTATAATATTGTGTTAGTTTCAGGTACATAGCAAAGTGATTCAGTTATACACATTTTTTCAGATGCTTTTCCATCATAGGTTATTACAAAATATTGAATATAGTTCCCTGTGTGTGTGCTCAGTCGCTCAGTCATGTCTGACTCTTTGTGACCCCATGGACTGTAGTCTGTCAGGCCCCTTTGTCCATGGAAGCCTCCAGGCAAGAATACTAGAGTGTGTTGCCATTTCCTAGTCCAATATTTCCCTGTGCTATACAGTAAATCCTTGTTATTTATTTTAGTATATAATAGTGTATATCTGTTAATTCCATACTCCTAACTTACAGTGTGTGTATATGTACATGTATGTTGTTTTCTAGTTGCTAAGTCATGTCTGACTCTTTTGCAACCCCATGGGCTGTAGCCTGCCAGGCTCCTCTGTCAATAAGATTTTCCAGGCCAGAATACTGGAGATGGAGAGGGTTGCCATTTCCTCCTCCAGGGGATCTTCCAAACCCAGGGACTGAACCCCCCTCTCCTGAATTGGCAGGTGAATTCTTTACCGCTGAGCCATGGGGAAAGCCCCTCAATTATGGTCACAGACCATCAATCAGTCAGCCAGACAGTTGGTGAAGATTTAATGAAGCTTCTTTAGTAGCATACATGGAAAAAGGCCAAACTCAGAATTCCTGACATGAGACAGGAAAAACAATCCACATCTCATGTAGACAGAAGTCCTCCTTCCAAGCAGGGCTGGAAGGCATTGCTGTGGTCAGAACATCTAACAGCTCCTAACCCAGAGGAAGCATCAACACTTACACACCTGGGAGCTCTTTCTCAGACCAAAGACAACTCTCAGTGTCCACTCATGACGACACAGCCACCAGAAAGGAAAAATTTCTCTAGAATCTAGATGGCTTCTTTCAGCAGAGGACTGTGATTTTTAATGTTTTTCGTCAGCTAAAGATGACTTCCCTGGACCTCAGATTTTCTCAAATATTAAGTGAGAGGCTTGGAGTAGACCAGTAAGTCCCAGCACAGAATCCCTTGAAGAGCTTAGAAAACTACTTATGCAAGGGTCTCACCCCACACCAAGGAATCTCATTACTGGAGGTGGGCCTGGGTGTCCCTTTCTAACAATCTCCCCAGAGGATTCTCATGTGCGGTAAGGGCTGAGTACCTCCAAGAAGGATTATCTTAGCTGGGGCCTTGCCCATCCCTGTGTGCTGTGCTCAGTCACGTCCGACTCTCTGTGACCCCATGGACTGTAGCCCGCCAGGCTCCTCTGTCCGTGGGATTCTCCAGGCAAGAATACTGGAGTGGGTTGCCATTTCCTTGTCCAGGGGATCTTCCCAACTCAGGGATTGAACTTGTGTCTCCTGCTTGGCAGATGGATTCTTTACCATTGTGCCACCTGGGAAGCCCTGCCCATCCCTAACACAAGCAAAAATCCTCTGAACAAATGGACACATCTGGTCTCAGCTGAGGTCTGACACTGCATTTCCAGTAGTGTTCCCAGATGGGGGCCCTGCTGCTGCTACACAGACCCCTCTTTAAGGAGAACAATCCTTTCCAACTATTTATCTTCAATGATTTATTTAATTTCTTGAGATTCTGACATCTAGAAAATCTTTTCTAGCCTCAAGGCAAAGCACGTTCCTTCCCATCAGATCAGCAGCAGGGACAGGCTATCTAGGAGACCACCACGGACGAGCACGAGACTTCAAACACAGCCTGACCATTTCATGTGAGAGAGGTACTTACCAAAGAGTTTAGCCAGACCTTTGTCCAAAATTTTTGAATTTGATGAAAATTCAGCATTTGAAACTGTGGGGAAAATAAGCCTCAGCTGTGAGTCAATCTTTCACTTAGGAGCTGTGTGTGATTCTTCTGAACTCGACACTCTCTTGGATGGTATTCTGAGAGGAGCGTCCTGCACCTGGCCTGCTCGAGGGGAAGAGCACTGGGCTTGGGTTCTGGTAGGATATTTGAACACTGCCTGACCTTGGGCAGTGAGGTTCTGTGGGATGTGGTTTTCTCATCTGAGGCTGGAGGGAAAGATACAGACGGACCAGACGAGGGCTGTGGGGAGGGGGAGGAAATTCACCAATGTGACCTTCAGACTGAGAATGCTCATCCCTCATCCCAACTCAGTGCTATTATCTATGATGCACGACAGTAAACAGAGCTGGTTCCAAGCAAGGGTATGCTCAGTACTCAGCTGTGGGAGGAACAGAGACAGATGGACACACGTCTCGGGAGATAGTCAACAAAAACTCTCCCCTCCACAGGTAATGAGGTCAATGGACAGTGCCTGACCATTCTGGAAATGTGATGCTTTCCTGTTTTGGAATAAAGGGAACAATCCTGCTGCATGCTCTGCACTGATCCTCACTGAGGATTTTGTATTTAGGAGGAGCTTAAGGGCCTAAGGTCATCCTGATTTGACTTGATAAATACAAGGAATTCCTGATGTTGTCACTCAGGATTTAAAAAATGAAGATGCAAACAGAGGTGAACCAGGTCAGCCATCTCCCCAAGGACAGCGTGGATGGGTGTTAAGACTCCTGTTGACCCACACGTGGCTACATCAAGGACATGAATTAATGGTGCAAAAAGACTGTAGCGATCTGGGGAAATTTTGAGCTATGTGTGTGTGCCCTCAGTCCCTCAGACATGTCCGACTCTTTGCGACCCTACAGACTGTAGCCCCCCAGGCTCCTCTGTGCATGGGAGTTTTGTGGCAAGAATACTGGAATAGGTTGCCATTTTCTCCTCCAGAGAATTTTCCAGACTCAGGGATCAAACTCACATCTTCTGCATTGCACGCTGATTCTTTACCACTGAGCCACTGTGGAAGCCCTTTGAGCTACAATATCAGGCTTTTCTTTTTGGAGGTCATGATGTCTGTGACACATTTTCCTGATTCAAGGTCAGCCCTTTTTTCTGGCCCCTGAGGAGTGGGCAAACCCATCAGGGAGGAGAAACCTGTGCTTTAATGAAAGCGTTTTAGGCCACAGTGCCCCACCACCTGCCCCCTGAGTTCCCCTGAGTTCTGAGTTCCACAGAGTATTCATAAAGTTTCCTCAAGAATCTGGACTTTTACCTCAAAGTCAAAACAACACTGGTTTCCTCAGTCTTCAGAGACATTGAGTAGTATGTGCACGACAGGTTCCCACTCCACAGGGAAACTGCTAATTAGTGGTTAATAGTGCATGGATATGATGGCTTTTTGGTGAATGAACAGAACAAAAATTTTTCTCTTGCTGAGACAGTTGTGAATCACTAAGAATCAATAAGGTGGAAGTATAAGTAAGCCCATGCAATAAAACACTTGTTCACAAAAACTCTTGGTTTTTAAAGTGACTGTAGCCACAAAATTAAAAGATGATTGCTTCTTGGAAGGAAAGCTATGACAAACCTAGACAATGTATTAAAAAGCAGAGACATTAAAAAGAAAAAAAGCAGAGACATCACTTTGCCAACAAAGATCCCTATAGTCAAAGTTATAGTTTTTCCAGTAGTCATGTATGCATGTGAGAGTTGGACGGTAAAGAAGGCTGAGCGCTGAAGAACTGATGCTTTCAAACTGTGGCGCTGGAGAAGACTCTTGAGAGTCCCTTGGACTGCAAGGAGATCAAACCAGTCCACCCTAAAGGAAATCAACCCTGAATATTCATTGGAAGGATGGATGCTGAAGCTGAAGCTCCAATACTCTGGCCACCTGACGCAAAGAGCTGGCTCATTAGAAAAGACCCTAATGCTGGGAAAGACTGAAGGCAAAAGAAGGAGCTGGCAGAGAATGAGATGGTTAGACAGTATCAGCAACTCAACGGATATAAATCTGAACAAACTAGAGGAGACGGTGGAGGACAGAGGAGCCTGCAGTCCACGGGGTCACGAACAGTGAGACAGGACTTAGCGACTAAAGAATAAACAGGACAAGAGGAGTTACTGTCTTCCCTTCCTTGAAGTCACCGCCGATGGACTGCTGTATGATGTACCTCTGTCCCTCATGACAGACGACACTGTTTTGTACTCTGGGTCTGCTGAATTTTTGGAAAACAGTACTATAGTTTCCTCCATCATAAGGATTGCGTCTACTGCTTTTCTCCACAGACCCAATTTCTTTACATTGAGAGAATGTCCAAGAATGTGGTCAGCCAATCAGTTTAGTAAATAGCACAAGTGCTTCCAATTGGAGTAAGATCCTAAAAGAAGAGCATGGAAATCTAATGTTCATTTTGAAAAAGCCACATTCATAAGATGTTCATAACAGCACTATTCAGATAGTCAAAAGGTGGAAACAACCCAAACGTCCATCAACTGACACATGGATCAACCAAATGGGGCACGTCCATGCGATGGACTATCATTCAACCATAAAAGGGAATGAATTCCTGAGTCATGCGACCATGTGGATGAACCCTGAAAACATGTTAGATGTAACAAACTGGTCACAAAAGACCATACAGTGTGTGATTCCATATACAAATACCCAGAATAGATAAATCCATAGGACAGACAGTGGGTTAGTGGTTTCCAGGGTCTGTGGAAAATGGGGGATGGGGATTGATAGCAAGTGGGTATGATATTACTTTGGGGAGTGCTGAAAATGTTCTAAAATTAGATAGTGGTGGTTCACAACCCCATGAATATACACTGTAAAGGGTGTATTTTATGTTATGTAACTAATATATCAAGCTGTTGTTTAAAGTACAGAGTGTGAATAGCCAGTGGGAATTTGCTATAAGGCTCAGGGAACTCAAACTCGGGCTCCATGACAACCTAGAAAGGTGGGATGGGATGAGAAGCCATAGGCAGGCTCAAGAGGGAGAAGACAGTGTAGACGTATGGCTGATCCATGTTGCTATATGGCAGAAACCAACATAGTGTTGCAATTATTCTTCAATCAAAAGTAAGTTAAGAAAAAAAGTGTGGAAAATAATAAAACATTAAAAAATAAAACATAGTGTGTGTGTATATATGAGGGGATAGACAAAACAAGATGTGACTGATTAGCACATATAGGTTCATGATATTAATACTAATCTCTCTCCTTTTGTATATGTTTGAAATTTTTCACAAGTAAAAGTTAAAATGTGCAAGTATGCTACTCTCGCACGGAGCTCTGGATTTTGAGTAGTGTGCAAAGTTAGGAATACTGATAAAATTTCTCCTTTCTCCTTTGCAAAGAATCCCTAAGGTAGATCTGGGGAGGTCAAGCAGGCAGAGCGAGGAGAAACCCTGTGTTCACTCCAGCACCCATCGGAGGCGAGCACCGTCTCCTGCCTGATGCAGGCTCACGATGAGTCTTCACACGCATCTCCACCTGCCACAATACACCTGGGGCGGTACCTCTGGTCAGATGGAAAGGGTGAGGCTCTGCACCTTGCCAATAATCCAGGAAGAGAACAAAGAAGAGGGTCTCCGCTCCTCTCTTCTTTGCCATAGTCTGTGTACCATTACAGAGAAGCAATCTCCCAAAATACTTCAGACAGAACAGCCTTTAACTCCAGGATACTTCAGAACCGACGGTCTGTGACGTCACATCCGGAAACGGAAGCTAGGGGCTGGGCAGGTCCACAGTGGGAAGGGGAAGGGTGGTGTCTATGGGCCCGCACGGGAAAGGGAGAGGCCACCTTAAGGCAACAGCCTCTCCACTCACTGCCTTAGGTTCTGCACCGCCTCCTGGAGGCAACCAGAACTCTTCAGTTGCAAGTGACAAAAACTCAATTAAATCAACTTAAATGAACTGTAAGTAGCTAGAGTAGCCAGAAAAATCTTAGGACAAATCAACATATCACATTACAAAAGTATCATTATTTATTGCATCACATAATAGAATTGTTGTTGTTGTTCAGTCCCTAAGTCATGTCCAACTCTCTGCGACCCCATGGAGTACAATACACCAGGCTTCCCTGTCCTCCACTATCTCCTGGAGTTTGTTCAGGCTCATGTCCATTGAGTCCGTGATGCTATCTAACCATCTCATCCTCTGCTGCCCTCTTTAACAGAAGTATAGCACCAAAAATGTTATAAATAAAAATATAAGTTGATGCTGTCACTCATATGTCAATATCTCCCCTATTACATTTCATAAGTATTAAAGTATTTCCAAAGGGGAAAAATGTTTTTATATTTTAGCACCTTTAACTGTACTTTTCTGCCTGCATTTTCATTATACACTGGGTCCTACAAGTTATGTAGCCAGTCCTGCTTTGTATGCAGTGATAGGATGGAAGAAATCTGAGGAGGGGATGGGGTGAAGGGAGAAGTTATAGAAAAAGTTATAGAGTTGAATTCTGAGTAGCTCAGATGTACTGGATTGATGGGACTGCCCTAACAAAGTTCCACAAAATGGTGAGGTTAAACAACATCAGTCTATTGTCTAATAGTTCCGGGGACCAGAAGTCTGAGACAGAGTTGGTTCTTTCTGAGGCCTCTCAACCTGGGTTGTAGGCAGCTGTCTTCTCTTTGTGACTTCCCTCCACAATCATCTGTGTCCAAAGTTTCTCTTCTTATAAGGACACCAGTCATATTGAACTATAGTCAACCCTAATGTACCTCATTTCTGAAGTACTGGCGGTTAGGACATCAACATATGTATCTGGGGTGGGGACACAATTCAACCCATAACAGGAGGTAATTGAAGCAGCAAAAATGTTATTTTCCTAAAATATCTTCAAGAAAACAAAAACAATAAAAAGAACATATACCCCAACACAAAACTCACATCCTCAGCATAACTGGGAGACAGAAAATGTCCAACTTCATGACTGTGGCTTTGTAGTATAGTCTGAAGTGAGGTAGATTGATTCCTCCAGTTCCATTCTTCTTTCTCAGGATTACTTTGGCTATTCGAGGTTTTTTGTATTTCCATACAAATTGTGAAATTATTCGTTCTAGTTCTGTGAAAAATACCGTTGGTAGTTTGATAGGGATTGCATTGAATCTGTAGATTGCTTTGGGTAGTATAGCCATTTTGACAATATTGATTCTTCCAATCCATGAACACGGTATATTTCTCCATCTGTTTGTGTCCTCTTTGATTTCTTTCATCAGTGTTTTATAGTTTTCTATGTATAGGTCTTTTGTTTCTTTAGGTAGATATACTCCTAAGTATTTTATTCTTTTTGTTGCAATGGTGAATGGTATTGTTTCCTTAATTTCTCTTTCTGTTTTCTCATTGTTAGTGTATAGGAATGCAAGAGATTTCTGTGTGTTAATTTTATATCCTGCAACTTTACTGTATTCGTTGATTATCTCTAGTAATTTTCTGGTAGAGTCTTTAGGATTTTCTATGTAGAGGATCATGTCATCTGCAAACAGCGAGAGTTTCACTTCTTCTTTTCCTATCTGGATTCCTTTTACTTCTTTTTCTGCTGATTGCTGTGGCCAAAACTTCCAAAACTATGTTGAATAGTAGTGGTGAGAGTGGGCACCCTTGTCTTGTTCCTGATTTCAGGGGAAATGCTTTCAGTTTTTCACCATTGAGGGTGATGCTTGCTGCGGGTTTGTCATATATAGCTTTTATTATGTTGAGGTATGTTCCTTCTATTCCTGCTTTCTGGAGAGTTTTAATCATAAATGGATGTTGAATTTTATCAAAGGCTTTTTCTGCATCTATTGAGATAATCATATGGTTTTTATCTTTCAATTTGTTAATGTGGTGTATTACATTGATTGATTTGCAGATATTAAAGAATCCTTGCATTCCTGGGATAAAGCCCACAAAGCCACAGTCATCAAGACAGTATGGTACTGGCACAAAGACAGAAATATAGATCAATGGAACAGAATAGAAAGCCCAGAGATAAATCCACGAACCTATGGTCACCTTATCTTTGACAAAGGAGGCAAGGATATACAATGGAAAAAAGACAACCTCTTTAACAAGTGGTGCTGGGAAAACTGGTCAACCACCTGTAAAAGAATGAAACTAGAACACTTTCTAACACCATACACAAAAATAAACTCAAAATGGATTAAAGATCTAAATGTAAGACCAGAAACTATAAAACTCCTAGAGGAGAACATAGGCAAAACACTCTCCGACATAAATCACAGCAGGATCCTCTATGACCCACATCCCAGAATTTTAGAAATAAAAGCAAAAATAAACAAATGGGACCTAATGAAACTTAAAAGCTTTTGCACAGCAAAGGAAACTATAAGCAAGGTGAAAAGACAGCCCTCAGATTGGGAGAAAATAATAGCAAACGAAGCAACAGACAAAGGATTAATCTCAAAAATATACAAGCAACTCCTCCAGCTCAACTCCAGAAAAATAAATGACCCAATCAAAAAATGGGCCAAAGAACTGAACAGACATTTCTCCAAGGAAGACATACAGATGGCTAACAAACACATGAAAAGATGCTCAACATCACTCATTATCAGAGAAATGCAAATCAAAACCACAATGAGGTACCATTACACGCCAGTCAGGATGGCTGCTATCCAAAAGTCTACAAGCAATAAATGCTGGAGAGGGTGTGGAGAAAAGGGAACCCTCTTACACTGTTGGTGGGAATGCAAATTAGTACAGCCACTATGGAAAACAGTGTGGAGATTTCTTAAAAAGCTGGAAATAGAACTGCCATATGACCCAGCAATCCCACTTCTGGGCATACACACCGAGGAAACCAGATCTGAAAGAGACACGTGCACCCCAATGTTCATCGCAGCACTGTTTATAATAGCCAGGACATGGAAGCAACCTAGATGCCCATCAGCAGACGAATGGATGAGGAAGCTGTGGTACATATACACCATGGAATATTACTCAGCCATTAAAAAGAATTCATTTGAATCAGTTCTAATGAGATGGATGAAACTGGAGCCCATTATACAGAGCGAAGTAAGCCAGAAAGATAAAGACCATTACAGTATACTAACACATATATATGGAATTTAGAAGATGGTAACGATAACCCTATGTGCAAAACAGAAAAAGAGACTCCTATGTATAGAACAGACTTGTGGACTCTGGGAGAAGGCGAGGGTGGGATGTTTCAAGAGAACAGCATTGAAACACGTATATTATCTAGGGTGAAACAGTTCACCAGCCCAGGTTGGGTGCATGAGACAAGTGCTCGAGACTGGTGCACTGGGAAGACCCAGAGGGATTGGGTGGAGAGGGAGGTGGGAGGGGGGACCGGGATGGGGAATACATGTAAAAAAAAAAAAAAGATACACTATGGTTGTGATAAAAAATAAATAAATAAAATTAAAAAAAAATGTCCAACTTCAAATTCCAGTAATATAAAAAGTCCTAAGCCAAGGCACTGATTCTCTGGCTTCTGCCACTTGTCTTGGTGGAGAGGAAACACAGCAGCCCCCAAATGACCTAAAATCTCCTGTAGAAAGAGAACACTCACCCTATGAACGCAAGTGCTGCAAGTGTGTCCTGGTTCAGTTCAGTTGCTCAGTTGTGTCCAACTCTTTGTGACCCCATGGACTGCACCATGCCAGGCCTCCCTGTCCATCGCCAACTCCTGGAGTTTACTCAAACTCTTGTCAATTGAGTCGGTGATGCCATCCAGCCATCTCATCCTCTGAAGTCCCCTTCTCCTCCTGCCTTCAATCTTTCCCAGCATCAGGGTTTTTTCCAGTGAGTCAGTTCTTTGTATCAGGTGGCCAAAGTATTGCAGTTTCAGCTTCAGCATCAGTCCTTCCAATGAATATTCATGACTGATCTCCTTTAGGATGGACTGGTTGGATCTCCTTGCAGTCCAAGGGACTCTCAAGAGGCTTCTCCAACACCACAGTTCAAAAGCATCAATTCTTCGGCACTCAACTTTCTTTAGAGTCCAACTCACATCCATGTATGACTACTGGAAAAACCACAGCCTTTACTAGACAGACCTTTGTTGGCAAAGTAATGTCTCTGCTTTTTTTTTTCATTTATTTTTATTAGTTTGAGGATAATTACAATATTATAGTGGGTTTTGTCTCTGCTTTTTAATATGCTGTCTAGATTGGTCATAACTTGTCTTCCAAGGAGCAAGCGTCTTTTAATTTCATGGCTGCAGTCACCATCTGCAGTGATTTTGGAACCCAAAAGAATTACGTCTGTCACTGTTTCCACTGTTTCACCATCTATTTGCCATGAAGTGATGGGACCAGATGCCATGATCTTAGTTTTCTGGATGTTGAGTTTTAAGCCAACTTTTTCACTCTCCTCTTTCACTTTAATCTAGAGGCTCTTTAGTTCTTTGCTTTCTGCCATAAGGGTGGTATCATCTACATATCTGAGGTTATTGATATTTCTCCCTGCAGTCTTGATTCCAGCTTGTGCTTCTTCCAGCCCAGCATTTCTCATGATGTACTCTGCATATAAGTTAAATAAGCAGGGTGATGATATACAGCCTTGACGTACTCCTTTCCCTATTTAGAACCAGTCTGTTGTTCCATGTCCAGTTCTAACTGTTGCTTCTTGACCTGCATACAGATTTCTCAAGAGGCAGGTCAGGTGGTCTGGTATTCCTATCTCTTGAAGAATTTTTCACAGTTTGTTGTGATCCACAGAGTCAAAGGCTTTGGCATAGTCAATAAAGCAGAAATATGGAACTATTTTTCTAGAACTCTCTTGCTTTTTTGATGATCCAACAGATGTTGCAATTTGATCTTTGGTTCCTCTGCTTTTTCTAAATCCAGCTTGAACATCTGGAAGTTCATGGTTCACATACTGTTGAAACCTGGCTTGGAGAATTTTGAGCATTACTTTACCAGAGTGTAAAATGAGTGCAACTGTGCAGTAGTGTGAGCAATCTTTGGCATTGCCTTTCTTTGGATTGGAATGAAAACTGACCTTTTCCAGTCCTGTGGCCACTGCTGAGTTTTCCAAATTTGCTGGCATATTGAGTGCAGCACTTTCAAAGTGTCATCTTTTAGGATTTGAAATAGCTCAGCTGGAATTCCATCACCTCCACTAGCTCTTTTTGTAGTGATGTTTCCTAAGGCCCACTTGACTTTGCATTCCAGGATGTCTGGCTCTAGGTGAGTGATCACACCATCGTGGTTATCTGGGTCATGAAGATCTGTTTTATATAGTTCTTCTGTGTATTCTTGCCACCTCTTCTTAATATCTTCTGCTTCTGTTAGGGCCGTACCATTTCTGTCCTTTATTGTGCCCATCTTTGCTTGAAATGTTCCCTAGGTAGCTTAATTTTCTTGAAGAGATCTCTAGACTTTCCCATTCTGTTGTTTTCCTTTATTTCTTTGCATTGATCGCTGAGGAAGGCTTTCTTATCTCTCCTGGCTATTCTTTGGAACTCTGCCTTCAAATGGGAATATCTTTCCTTTTCTCCTTTGCCTTTTGCTTCTCTCCTAGTTACAGCTATTTGTAAGGCCTCCTCAGACAACCATTTTGCCTTTTTGCATTTCATCTTCTTGGGGATGGTTTTGATCATTACCTTCTGTACAATGTTACCAACCTCTGCCCAAAGTTCTTCAGGCACTCTGTCTATCAGATCTAATCCCTTGAATCTATTTGAAACTTCCACTGTATAATCATAAGGGATTTGATTTAGGTCATACCTGAATGGTCCAGTGGTTTTCCCTACTTTCTTCAATTTCAGCCTGAATTTGGCAATAAGGAGTTCATGATCTGTGCCGCAGTCAGCTCCCAGTCCTGCTTTTGCTGACTGTATAGAACTTCTCTATCTTTGGCTGCAAAGAATATAATCAATCTGATTTCTGTACTGACTAGCTGGTGATGTCCATGTGTAGTCTTCTCTTGTGTTGTTGGAACAGGGTATTTGCTGTGACCAGTGTGTTCTATTGCAAAACTCTTATTAGCCTTTGCCCTGCTTCATTCTGTACTCCAAGGCCAAATTTGCCTGTTACTCCAAATATCTCTTTACTTCCTACTTTTGCATTCTAGTCCCCTATGATGAAAAGGACATATGTTGGGTTGTTAGTTCTAGAAGGTCTTGTAGGTCTTCATAGAACCGTTCAACTTCAGCTTCTTCAGCATTAGTGGTTGGGGCATAGTCTTGAATTACTGTGATACTGAATTGCTTGCCTTGGAAACAGACAGAGATCATTTTCTTGTTTTTGAGATTGCATCCAGATACTGCATTTCGGACTCTTTTGTTGACTATGAGGGCTACTCCATTTCTTCTAAAGGATTCCTGCCCACAGTAGTAGATATAATGGTCATCTGAATTAAATTCACCCATTCCAGTCCATTTTAGTTCACTGATTCCTAAAATGTCGACGTTCACTCTTGCCATCTCCTGTTTGACCACTTTGAATTTACCTTGATTCATGGATCTAACATTCCAGGTTCCTGTGCAATATTCTTTATGGCATTAGACTTTACTTCCATCACCAGTCATATCCACAAATGGGTGTTCCTTTCGCTTTGGCTCAGCCTCTTCATTCTTCCTGGAGCTATTTATCCACTCTTCTCCAGTAGCATGTTGGGCACCTACTGACCTGGGGAGTTCATCTTTCACTATCATATCTTTTTGCCTCCTCATACAGTTCATGGGGTTCTCAAGGCAAGAATACTGAAGTGGCTTGCCAGTCTCTTCTCCAGTGTACCATGTTTTGTCGAAACTCTCCACCATGACCCATCCATCTTGGGTGGCCCTACGCAGCATGGCCCATGGTTTTCATTGAGTTAGACAAGGCTGTGATCCAAGTGATCAGTTTGGTTAGTTTTCTGTAACTGTGGTTTCCATTCTGTCTTCCCTCTGATGGATAAGGGTAAGAGGCTTGTGGGAGCCTCCTGATGAGAGGGACTAGTTGTGGGGTATCTGAGTCTTGCTCTGATGGTCAGGGCCATGCTCAGTGAATCTTTAATCCAGTCCAATCCCATATCTTGTTATATATCCCAGAGAATTGAAGGCAGAGTCTTGAAGAGGTATTCACAGTGAACATTCACCAATGTTCACAGCAGTATTGCTTACAATAGCTAAAATGTGAAAGAGACCCAAGAATTCATCAACAGATGAATGGATAAGCAAAATGTAGCATGTACATATAATGGGATATAATTCAGCCATAAAAAGGAAGGAAATTCTGTCACATGGGAAATGGGAAGTTACTGTTTAATGAGTACAGCATTTCAGTGTTATAAGATGAAAAATGTTATGGAGATGGATGGTGGTAATCGTTGCACAGTATTACAAAGGTATTTAATACCGCTGAACTGTACACTTTAAAATGAGTTAGGAAGAATCTTAATAACAGTGGATATGTGTATATGGATACCAGATTCACTTTGCTGTACATGCGAAACTGCGCATTACAAACCAACCACACCCCGAATTAAAAGAATTTAATGGGTTATGGTGGTAAATTGTATGTCTCATGGATTTTACCACAACTTTAAAATAAGGAAAAAGTAATACACACATGAGCAGGGGCTTCCCAGGTAGCTCAATGGTAAAGAACTTGCCTGCCAATGCAGAAGACACAAGAGGGTCTTCTCCTGAGGGTTCGATCCCTGAGTCAGGAAGATCCCCTGGAGAAGGGAATGGCAATCCACTCCAGTACTCTTGCCTGGGAAATTCCATGGACAGAGAGGCCTGGCTGGCTACAGTCCATGGGGCCACAGAATAGCTGGACACAACTGAGCAACTCAGCACCCACGTACAAATACATGAACATATTAAAAAATTAAAATAAAAGTTTACATTGTACAAAGAATTTGCTCTTCATTCCCCCACCTTTACCAGTGGTCCCCATATTGAAAAGTGTTGAAGGTTCCTCAGACATTCTTCAGAGCCATTCACACATAAACATTCTGGACATTGTGACTGTCTTTCTTTGCTTTGACTTAGCCATATGTCCTGATGTATTTCATATCAGATTATATAGAATTCCTTCATTATTTTAAACAGTTGCATGCTGACCCATTTTATGAACGCATAGACACCAGATACAAATGAACACATATCTATGGTTCTATTTGCATAAAACTCCAAAATAGGCTAAACTAACCTGTGGTGACCTGTAGACTGGAGGATAGTAGTCCCTTTCGAGGAAGAAGAGGGCAGTGAGCAAGAGGGGTGGGAGGCTTCTGGATACAGTACTGCTCATGCTGTTTTTTAAACTCAGTGTTCACAAGTTAATAATTCATTGAAATGTACATTTAACGAGTGATGTTGTGCTTCAACTTGACCAAATTTAACCTCACAGTCTAGTGGGAAAGTTCTATAGAGCGGCAAATAACTATGGCTCAGTCCGGTCAATGAATTCAGGACTGGGTATCTTCCTGCCCTGTGGACCCCTGAGCCGCTGAAGGCTCCCCGCGTGCTCATGCCAGCTGCTGCCAACAAGATAACTGTTGGGCAAGGTACACACGCGTTGAGACTCGTCGGTTCCCGTATCTGCAAAATCGGGAAATAATACCTGAGTAATTGCAAGGGTGTAATATGATCATCTATGTAAAACGGGTAGAAGTGCTGCGCAAGCACTAAACTGGTGCTCCGTTCACTTCAGCTACCGCTATCACGAAGTTATCATTTTTATAAGGGAAAGGATCTTCCTCAGTGCTCAATAAAGAAATGCTTTGTGTGAAATATCCACCGCCGGCCTCCCTGGGGACTGCTCGCTGAGGAAAACGGGAGTCCTGGACAAGTGAACTACCAGCCCGCCGGGCTCCGACCGCGTCCTCTTGCGCGGAGCGATGACGTCACCCACACGCGCTGCAGCCTACCTTGGAAGCGCCCGGGCAGTTCTTCCCGGCGGCCTCCATTGGCTGGCCAGCACCCGACGGCCCCGCCCCTTTGCCCCCGGGGGCCCCCGGCTCCCGGCGTCAATCTGCCTAGGTGGGAGCGGTGACTGGCCGCGGGGCCCGCCCTCTTGAAAGCCTCCGCCGGGCTCGCGTAGGCTGCGTGCTCGGGGTGGGAGGGGCACAGCAGCGCGTCTGGAACCGAGGTGGTCCCGGTCCGCCCGCCTGCCTGCCTGCCAGCGGTTGGTTACTACTGCAGCCCGTCTGCTGGGCAGGGCCGGCCCGGCCCGGCCATGGAGTCCTACGATATCATCGCCAACCAGCCCGTGGTCATCGACAACGTGAGGCTTGGCAACCGGGGGGAGGGCGGGCGCCCCGCCTCCGGGGGTGGACGCGGCGAGGTCCGCAGGGACCCCCTCCGATCTTGGCTGGTCCTCGACTCGTTGCCGGCCCGCCACTCCTGCGGGCTGTCCCCAGTTGGCCCTGTATCCCGGGCCGCGGGACCAGCCCCCCGCAAGCGTGGCAGAACCCCAGCACTCCCTGAGCTGGCGGGGAGGTCGGAGAGGAAGGGGTCCCATATGTCTGGCAGCCCTTGATCAACATCTGGAGAGCCGGGGTACAGCCGGGCGACCGACCGATGCACCGATGTGCCAGGCCCGGGGACTCACCCCGGACCCTTCTCGGTGGAGACTAGGCTCACTGGATGGGTTTCGACCCCAGCCCTTTTACCTCTCCTGAGGCTTTGGCTGCCCTCCTACTGGAGGAAAAACAGTGTTTGCCCCTTTGCACACTGCTGGCCCCATCTTTTGGGTACGCTCGACCTGCGGCCCTCTGCAACAGCTCTTCCCAAGTGCTGCACCCCGAGGCAGCACGTCCAGGGTAGGCAGGCCCCACTATGCCCTTTTCCTGGGACTGGGGAAAATGCACGTTAAGTTTTGCCAACCACATACCCGCCGCTGCCTAGCTGGGCACTCACCTGCTTTGACCCTTTCCTTAAGTGTTGCCTGAGCCAAGCGGATGTTCCACAGCTGGGAGGGCAGTGGAGAGAATTCAGGACCACTCTTCCCAGGACCTGTAAGCTGTTTGGGGGTCTTGGTTGGAAACCTCAGCAGAAAGTTGCCTGGCTCCATGGTGGTCTTGTCCTTCAGCACCGGAGCTCAGCTCAGCATACTTTCTGGTCTATAGGAAGAAGGTGAGGGGCACAGATCAGTGGATCTGCCCCTAGCTGAGTGTCTACCTCTGAACTGTGGGCCTTGGAGTTTTTAATAATGACTCACTGCTCTTTCTGGGATCTGTCTCCCTTGCACATGACCCCCATGTAATCTCTGAAAGGCTCTCTGTTTTGGAGTAACCATGTGAGGGCCCTGAGTCACAGCAGGGGGTGTTTAATAAGACTGCTGAAGCTGGACTTGGGGATGCTCTCCATCAGGCTTCAGGAAGGATCAGCCACTTCCTTTCTTGGCAGGCTAATGAACAAGTTTATGAGTTTCGAGAGCAACCTGCTTGGTCCCACTGGGCTTCCAGACCCCTACTCTGTAACTTTGGGATGTTTCTTTCTCTTTTTAAAAAACTTTTTATTTTGTATTGCGTGTGCTCAGTCACTCAGTCATTTCTGACTCTGCAACCCTCTGGGCTATAACCCACCAGGCCCCTCTGTCCATGGGATTCTCCAGGCAAGAATACTGGAGTGGGTTGCCATGCCCTCCTCCAGGGGCTCTTCCTGACCCAGGGATCAAACCCACATCTCTTCTGTCTCCCGCTTTGGCAGGCGGGTTCTTTACCATGAGCACCACACAAGAAGCCCATTTTTTACTGGAGAATAGCCAGTTAAAAAACAATGTTCTGATAGTTCCAGGTGAGCAGTGAAGGGACTCAGCGATATGTACTCATGTATCCATTCTCCCCCAAACTCTAGGGGATGTTTATTTCTGCTCTACAGGCCCCAAGGGTGGTGATAGGTGGTGGGGAGAGAAGTTGAGATGCTGATTCCTGCTGTGGGTGGGAGGTTTCCAAATACCAGAATCCCTTTAAAAGTCTCCATCCAGCTTCCACGCTGGAACGGACCAAGTTCTCCTGTTATCTCTGGGAAAGCCACTTGAGGAGGGGTGCTAGTTGATCCCTATGCACCCAGTAATCTTCTCCAGCCACTCCTGTATGAGGTCCATGGCTTCTGAGGGGAGTGGGCCATGCTTTTTCAAGCATGTTGAAAAACCTTAAGGGTTGTTTCTAGCTGGGCTTTGGGAGTCACTTCTGCTGCTAAGGAGTCCTCCTGCCTGGAGCTGCCCCACGAGTGTGCCTAGGAGGGTGTACACTGGTGACATTCTGGCTTGGATAATTCTTGATGATGAGGGGCTGCCCTGTGCTCTGTAGGATGTTGAGCAGCATCCCTAGCCTCTACCCACTAGATGCCAATAACAGCCTCTGCCCCCAGTCTTCAGACATTGTCAGATTTGGGGCTGCGTGCATGCTCCATTGCTAAGTTGTGTCTGAATCTTTACGGCCCCATGGACTGCAGCCCACCAGGCTCCTCTGTCCATGGATTTCCCGGGCAAGAATACTGGAGTGGGTTGCCATCTCCTTCTCCAGGGTATCTTCCCAACACAGGGACTAACCCCACATCTCCTGCATTGGCAGGCAGATTCTTTACCACCGAGCCACCTAGGAAGCCCTCAAATTAGGGGGACGAGATGCAAAGTTGCCCCTAATTTTGAACCACTGGTGTACGTGTAAATGGCCTTGCCCTCTTGGCAGGACCTCAGGCTTCCTTCCCAGGCTACTGTGGGGGGTAGGCCTCTCCACAGCAGGGCACCACCTTCATCTGGAGATGAATGTTGGAATCTGACTGCTGTTTTTCTTTGCAGGGTTCCGGGGTGATCAAGGCTGGCTTTGCAGGAGACCAGATTCCCAAATATTGTTTTCCAAACTAGTAAGTGTTGCTCAGGCAGTATTCCTAACCCTTTGGTTTGCTTCTGGGAAGAACATGGGTTCTGTGTCACAACCTTTGAGGCTAACTCTTGCCCCCGCCTGTAGGGGAAAACACCAGATTTGTGAAACTGGTCCTGTGAAGGGCTATGGCAGGAGAAGACAGGTGCTCTGGGCTTCCCCCACCCCTCCGGAGTCTGGTTTTGATCCCTCCTGGAGCCAGAAAGGAGGAGCTACCACCAGCATCCCCCTGGGGACAGGGCATGGTAGCAGCAGCAAGGATACAAGAGAGATCTAAACTCAGAGGAGAAAGATTGGGGAGTTACTGCCACTCCTTCCTCCCAGGAAGTGTTCTCTTCAGGGCTCATTCATTTTCAGACTCTGGAAGACACATTGTGCAGTCAGGGGGAATCCTTCCCAGAATAATGCCAGTGGTGGCAGAGGAGAGAGGGGAGTGAAACCCAGGGAAAGTTGGGAGCATTCCACCAGCCACTCAAGCCCGTTGGGAAGTTTTCCCTTGATAGTGTTTCATCTCAAATCCTGGAGGTCTTAAAGCTTAGTGGCTGAAGCCAGGGTAGGGGAGTCCTCAGGCCCCCGAAGTAACTGGCCATGTCAAGACAGAGCCTGCATGGGGCATCCAGGCCTCAGCTGTCCTTTCTGAACTCACCTGGAGTGTAATTAAAGGTTCCTCTTGACGTGCAGGGAAACTGGGTCAGATTTTGGAATGGCAGCTTGTCCACTCTGCCAAGAGCTGCATCTGTGTTCCAGAAGCCCTGGCAGGGAGAAGGATGGGACTGACAGAGAGGGGTGTATGAAGGAGCATGGCCCTGCTTCCTGGGGCCACCCCACCTTGTTCTGCCCCCGTGAAATCCACAGTGAGGGCTGGGTCATCATGGCTGCAGAAGCAGACCCTCTGCCAGGGCTGACATTCTAGACCTCTTGGCCCTCTCTGGGAGGGGTGGTGGGAAATCTCGGGAACCCCTTTTCTTCTGACCCTGAGTCTTCTGTCCTTCCAAGGCCTGCTCTGTGGTCCTGTGGCCCGTAGGCCTAGGTTCTGACTATTGGAGTCAGACTTTGGTTTTCCTGGACTAAGCTCAGCTATGTCCCCTGCCCATCTCCCTGACTTTTCCTGTCCCTGCAGTGTTGGACGCCCCAAGCACATGCGGGTGATGGCTGGAGCCCTGGAAGGAGACCTCTTTATCGGACCAAAAGCAGAGGTAACATCTGTGGTGCCTGTCTGTGCCTAGGTTGAGATCTTCTGTCCCAGGAGCCTTGACTGGTGGTCAGAGCTGAACCTCCAGAGAGAGCCCTCTCTGGGACCATCTGCTGGGTGCCATAAGCACTGTGGTCCATTTGCTATGTGAGCTGGCCCAGGGTTCCTGTGTAAGGCGACATAGTAAGACCACTTTGTGCCCCTTCCTTTAGAAGCCACAGAGGAAAGAACCAGTTAAAAAGTAACTTTAAAGTCTGAGTCACTGGATTGATAACTGATCAAGTGAGAAGGCCAGCTCTGTACTCCAGCTGGGGGGTTGGGGGGGCTGGCAGGGACTAACGAGCAAGTGCAGTTTAGGCACCTGGGGAAGACAGGAAGGGCTGCTGAGGACCCAGAAAATGGGGTCAGCAAGAGCTGCAGGCATGGGTGAGAGGCCAAATGGTGCTGGACAGAAGGACCGCGTTGGGGGGGAAATTGAAGGGCAGGTCTCTGCAAGAGACACCTGTGCTGGCTGAAGAGCTGTGAGGAAGGTGGTAGCACGTGACCGCAGGAGGGGGCCACACAGGACGGGCTGTAGCAGGATTGGCCTCCACAGAGGCTCCTGGCGCTGATGGGAGTGGGGACTGAAGTGGTGGAGCTGGAGGTCAGGCCGTGTGTGAGGCTGGAGGGGAAGGATGTGCTAGTAGTGAGTGTAGAGGACACGGGCTTGGGGGAAGGAATGGGGGAACTGTGGGGTTCGGGGGAGCATACCACCACCCCCTGTGGTCCGGGTCTTCGGAACAGGCTGGACTCTCAGAGCCAGGGAAAACAGTTGGACAGATAAACCCATGCTGGGTTAAGGATCTAAGGGGCACAGGGACCCCCGGTGAGCGGATGAAGGGGTGGCCCCCGGAGGGCAGAGAACAGCTGCTGGGTGAGTGTCTGCTGCCACCTCCAGCCTCTCGGTCTGCAGGAGCACCGGGGGCTGCTGGCCATCCGCTACCCCATGGAGCACGGCGTGGTGAGGGACTGGAATGACATGGAGCGCATCTGGCAGTACGTCTACTCCAAGGACCAGCTGCAAACCTTCTCCGAGGAGGTGGGGCCGCGGCGCCCTCCCCCTGCCCCGCCTGCGGCCTCTGGGTCAGGCCTCCACACCTTCTCTGGCCTGCAGCCCCTGCCCCCCGCATTGTGTGGGTGTGGGTCCCTGCCTCCCCTCCGCCCCGCATTGTGTGGGTGTGGGTCCGCACAGCTAGCGGCTGCCAAGTAGAATATACCAGGGGGCGCTGAGTCTTTGGAAGACTCACTGCTGGCAGATGACGTGCCGGCGCCCTTGGGAGGGATGGGAGGCGGCAGGTTCGTGTGCTCCCGGGGTAGGTGGCTCTCTGGAAAGATCCCGGCGGGGCCTGCACGTTGCCTTTGCATCTGCCCGCAACCCTGCCGTCGCCTGCAGCATCCTGTTCTTCTTACGGAAGCGCCGCTCAACCCGAGTAAGAACCGGGAGAAGGCGGCGGAGGTATTCTTCGAGACCTTCAATGTGCCGGCCCTGTTCATCTCCATGCAGGCCGTGCTCAGCCTGTGAGTGCTCTCCCGGCCCTGGTCCCTGCGTCTCTGGCCTCCTGATCGGGATGCTGTGGCGCCTGACTTCCCTGTACAAATAGCCTCCTGATGACCATCCCTATGGGGGGCCCATGGGTCCCTTTCTTAGACTAGATAATGCACATTCCCCGGGGTCCCTTCCAAGGGTGCGGAGGTCCCAGTGCCTCAGTGGCTGAGGTGAAGGGATGCTGACCTGGTGACAGGTATGCCACAGGACGCACGACGGGAGTGGTTTTGGACTCGGGGGACGGGGTCACGCACGCCGTCCCAGTCTACGAGGGCTTCGCCATGCCGCACTCCATCATGCGGGTGGACATTGCCGGCCGCGACGTCTCCCGCTACCTCCGGCTGCTGCTGCGCAAGGAGGGGGCGGACTTTCATACCTCGGCTGAGTTTGAGGTCGTCCGGACCATCAAAGAGGTGACGTGGGCAGGGAGTGGGGGAAGGGGGATGGTCGGACCCAGCATGAGGTTGAGCCCTGGGCGTGCGAGTCCCGGTGGGCACCTCCTGAGGGCCCTGTCTCTGCCCACTGCAGCGGGCCTGCTACCTGTCCATCAACCCACAGAAGGATGAGGCCCTGGAGACAGAGAAGGTGCAGTACACCCTGCCAGACGGCAGCACGCTCAACGTAAGTTCAGGCCGGGCGGGGGAGGGTGGTGACGCCGGGACTGGAGGAGGCGGGACCAACTTCAGCTCGTGTCCGAAGGTGGGACCGGCGCGGTTCCGGGCCCCTGAGCTGCTGTTCCAGCCAGACCTGATAGGGGATGAGAGTGAGGGGCTCCATGAGGTGCTGGTCTTCGCCATCCACAAGTCTGACATGGATCTGCGTCGCACGCTGTTCGCCAACATCATGCTTTCTGGTGGCTCCACGCTTTTCAAAGGTACCTAGTTGGTCGGGATGGTATGGCTTGGAGGCCACAGGTAGCGGGGCCCTCAGACTGCACCCCAATTCCTGAAAGCCTGGGACACGGCCCATTTTCTGTGGGTTTTTTGGGTGTTCAGTGAGGTTTTTTTTTTAAAGGATAGATTTGAAATTAAATTTTGTTTACAAATAGATGGTAAGCTTAATGAGGTCTAAAATGTATTCAATGAAGTCTGCCTTCTATTGTCCTGGTCACCCAGTTCCTCCCCACAGTTATTGTTAGTTGCTCAGGTAACGTCTGTGCCTAGATAAAGCATCCTTTTTACTCAGCCCTGGAGTACTCTCTGGACTTTCCAGATGGCTCAGTAGTAAAGAATCAGTTTGCCAATGCAGGAGATATGGGTTCAATCCATGGCTCAGGAAGATCCCTTGGAGAAGGAAATGGCAACCCACTCCAGTATTCTAGCCTGGAGAATTCCATGGACAGAGGAGCCTGGCGGGCTACAGTCCATGGGGTTGTGAAGAGTCAGACCTGACTTAGCGACAGAGCAGGAGCACAAAGAGCAGGAACACGAGCATACTCTCCAGTTCCACGCCCTGTGTTGTTGATTTTGCTCCACAGATGGCGGATGTTTGTGTAGGTTCTCTTTATCTGGCCATGAGGGCTGGATGTGCCATTGAACCATTAACCTGCTGATGGCCTTGGAGGTGGTGGAAAAAACCTGCCGATGGCCTTGGAGGTGGTGAAATTCTTTCTCATCACAAAACTGTTCCGCTGGATGATTGCGTGCACTATCATTTCACGTCATGGGAAGATACCTGAAAGATAAATCCTAGGGGTGGAATTGCTAAGTCAGAGGGTACACATGTGTGCATTTGATACCTGGTAGGTATCACAAGTTTCCCTCCTGAGAGGCTCCCCCAGTTATGGCAGAGAGTTCCCCAGTGCCATCCCAACACTGTGCAAGACATTTTCCTGTCTACTGGATGAAAGTGACTGCTTGTTTCCTGACTCATCATTTGCCTTTGACTGCTTCTGGTGGTTTTGGCTCTGGAGTGTCAAGGGGGAGAGAGTAGGGGTCAGGCAGAGGTGGGTGACTTGGAGTTCCATCTCCTGCTACCTTCCTTCCTTCCTGAAGAGGGAAGCAGGCCCACCTGCAAGCACACTGCTAGATCTTTTCTGCCTTTGGTGTGGTTCTCTCCACCCTCACTCCTGGCAAGAATGACTGAAACAAGGACTTCCCTGGCAGTCCAGTGGTTAAGACTGCACACTTCCACTACAGGGGGCATGGGTTCAATCCCTGTTTGGAGAACTAAGATCCCACATGCTGCATGGTATGGCCAAAAAATAAAATAGTAGCTTAAAAAATAAAAAAAGTGGCTGGGGCTGAGGCACCAGAAGTTGGATGTGACGGAGCTAGTGATGACGGGTCAGATGTGGACCCTGGGTTCAGCCAGCCTTGTGTTCACAGGCTTTGGCGATCGATTACTAAGTGAAGTAAAGAAGCTTGCCCCAAAGGATGTCAAAATCAAGGTGAGGTTGTGGGGAGTCCCTGTAGGGCATGGGGGTGCTGGGCAACCTTGACCTGGAGAGGGAAGGGCAAGAAGCACCTTCAGATGTCCTCTGACTTCACACCCAGCCCGGCCCTGCTGCTCCCCCTGCTCTCGGCTGAGGCCTGGCCGCAGGCACTGGGGGAAATGCCCCCGAGGCTAGGATAGGGGTGCTGGTGGGGGGGACAGGGCAGTTACGCTGTGCTTGTTCCCTCCAGATCTCGGCCCCTCAGGAACGGCTGTACTCCACATGGATCGGGTAAGGCAGGGCCCAGAGCCAGGGTTCTGGGAGGAGGCCACTGTGCTCTGCACACTTCTTCCTGGGCTGGTCCAGGCCAGGTGGAGGTGGGTGGATGTCCCCGACAGGTTAGAGAAGGGGAGTCCTGGGCGCCCAGGGCGGGTGGCTGGCTCAGCCTTCAGGTCCCCAAGAATGCTCTCCCTCCCTCCTCACAGGGGCTCTATCCTGGCCTCACTGGACACTTTTAAGAAGATGTGGGTATCCAAAAAGGAATATGAAGAGGACGGCTCCCGGGCTATTCATCGAAAAACCTTCTAGTGCCCAAGGAGGAAGGCGTAGCTCTGGGAGGAAGGGAGGAAGGGGGAACCAGAGTCCTTAACCCTTTGTGGTTGGGTTCACAGACGAGGCCTGGACCCCCTGCATACCCTGAACCCTGGGCAAGTGGTGCAACAGCGCTTCCCTGAAGCCTCCCCTACACACGTTTACATGTGCGCACACATACACACACACACATAGTCACAGTTAGCTGCATGGATGGGAGGCTGGAGCTGGAAGATAGGAATTGAGGGGCCCAACCAGCTTTGGGTGGTTCTGGGTGTCCCCCTTGGCAGAGCCAATTAGGCCTGTGGTTCTCAGCTTCCCCAAGCTCCAAGGCCAGACACCGGAACGCCCCCATTGCCTCTGACAGAAGCCCTCCGAGAGTGCCTGGATGCCTGGGTGACTAGCCCTGGGGAGTTGGGGGGGGGGCACCAGCAGTTCCCTCTGGGGTGTCTCCGCTGCTTGTGCCGCATCCTTGTCCTGACCCAACAGGGCAACCCAGAAGGCCACACTGTGGCGTCCCTGACCCCCCCACGCTCTGTCCTCTCGTCTTCCCAGATGGGTGCTTTGGTGTAGACTGAGTTCTGGGCAGTCTTCCGTCCCCAGTGACGGGGTCTGGGCCAAGGCCCAACCCTGTGGAACCAAGACAGGATGCACGGGGTTTGGGCAGCCACAGCGGGTTGTGCGTTCTCCTTGTCAAAGCGCTTCATGGACCTGCTGCTCCCTCTCCTTTACCCCAGTGCCTGGGACGGGAAGGGTTAATGGTCTTCATTTGTTGAGGGGAAGCCACTTAATCAGGAGTCAGACCTAGTGGGGGAGACCGGAGGCACATTTCCTCCTCCTGCTTCTCCCATGAAAGAGGTCTTCATTTACTGTATGGCCAGGACCCCCATCTCCCTCTCCCACATATGTACAATAACTTAACACAGTTGCCTGAAAAAACATTTTTTGTAAGTCATTATAGTAATAATTATGGAAAAGGCCCAGCGCATGGCTCTGTTTTCATGTGTTTCTTTGTGCTGATTGCTCACACACCCCTGGGGACCAAAGCAGTGGGGCTCTGGTGGCAGCTCAGAAGCCTGCGGTCTCAGCGGTTGGTGGGGCAACGCGGCACGGGAGGCCCCGGAGGTTGGGCTCTCAACCTGGTGGCACAATTCCCCAGGCTCTTTACACACCTGCTGCGGTTCACCAGGAGAAGCAGATGACAGGCTGCCCTCCTCCCCCTTATTCCCAGATGGGTCCTTGTGGCAGATGGGGTTTGGTGGGCCCATGTTCTCACCTGTTCTGTTTGGAACACCTCTGCAGCCTGGCTCCGATGAAGCCACACCAATACTGATGCAAGTTCGAAGTTCAGACAAGAAGGGAGAGATGTAGAAGGCTGTATCAAGCTGGGTTCTGAAGGAAGAAGCTGAGCGGCATGGAGAGGAAGGGCTGTGGAGGAAGAGGGAGCCATGAGAAGTGAGTTTGGAGGGACTACCCTCTCCCTCCTCCATCAAATACTTGAACACATACAGTAGGTCCAGGAAGTGTTATGTGTTTGGAGCCAACAGTAAACAAGACATATCTTTGCTACCCAAAACTTATATATCAGGGGAGAAAGGTAAACAGACTGTTTCAGTACAGAATTGCTATGTCTAAGCCAGAAGGTGGGGCAGGCTGACTTGCTTTTGTCCAGGAGGGGTTAGCCAGGTAAATAGGGCATGTTCCTGGGAGAGGTAAGAGTTCAAACAGATGCCTGGGACCCATGGGGCTAGAAAAAAAGACATGGACCAGAGTGATGCCAAAGCAGCAGGGCAGGGTGAGTGGTCTCTGGCTATGATGTGAGGTAAACCAAAGGGGTAAGTTGGAGCAAGCATGTAGGGGCTCTTGAGAGGGCTTTCAGCTGTGTCGGGTGATGGGCAGTCAGCTGGGGTGCATGGTTATCATAGCTGTATGTGGAAGGCAGCAACACCCCAGTAGGAGTAAGCACATAAAATACCTAGATCTTGGTTTCTAAATACAATTCTTGAAAGGAAGGAGTCAGTGCTCCTTGGAGAAATTGCAGACCTGGGGCAGAGATCTGAGCCTGGGATATCTTGTGGAAGGGGCTTGTCTAAAGGATTCAGGAACCAACTTGAAGGCGCAACCAGTAGTCAGGTCTGTAATGGATTGTAAATCATTAATTAATCATGAGTCCAGTCTGAGAAAAATACTTGAATATATATATATATACACACAGGGGAGCAGGGGCAGTTCTTTCTTACTGAATTACAGTTAATGAATGCAGAAGTAAGAGTAGAAAAAGAAAATCACCCTTATGCAAACATCCCAGTCACCACTGGTGCAGGCAGAAATGGATACAAAAACAAGCAAAAGTAAGGACATTTGCATTATCTCAAAGTATATACCCATGAGGTACTAGTTTAAAAAGGAAAAAATACTAACTATACAGGGGAGGAACCTAGTAAATATCACCTTAATCAAATTATGCAAGTTTACATCCAGGTAATGAGTCATTATCTTGAGGTGATACATTAAGAGGCTGCAATGTCACCTGTGTCTTCTTGGATACCCTCAGTCTAACCAGGAACAAACAGCCGGCAAACCCAAACTGAGGGCATTCTAGAAATGAATGAACCAGGTGCCTTGCTCAAAAGTGACAGGATATAAAGACAAAGACTAAGCAATTGCCACAGGTTGTGTGAGGCTGTGATGATGAAATGGAGTGGATCAGAAAGGGCCTTACTGAGAAAGCTGGGAAAATCAGTTAACAGTAATGCATCGATGTGAATCCCCTGGTTTCAGTCACAGCACTGTATGTTAATGTCGCAGGTTAATGTCAGTGGAAACTGGGTGAAAGGTAATCAGGAACTCTGTACTATTTTTGCAGCTTTTCTGTAAGTCTAAAATTGTTTCAGAATTAAAAGTTAGGGAGGAAAAACTCAGGCCTGAGCTAAATGGTCTGGATTCACAATTCTGCTACCATAACTAACTAGCTGCATAATCCTGAGCTGTTCCTAGGTTTCTGTATCTCTAATGTGGGGATGATAATAATAGCACCTACCTCATGGGTTTATTAACAGCCTGGGACATTTTGTGTCAGAGGATGGAAGAAGTGCCACAAGAATGATAGGGACCTGTCAAAAGACCATGGAGCCAGCCTGAAGAAGTTCCACTGGTTAAATCTGGAACAAATTAAACATCAAAAAATAATGACAGTTAAGAATTATAATTTACTGAATACAGTATAAAAGCATGAGTCTATACTGACATAGATTAATAAATTGAAAGTTTTATGAGGAACAGGGTATTGACATCTCAAAGTATTGCCCCATTCGATACTTATTAATAGTTAAAGGGCAGGGAAAACCATAAATAAGAAAGATACCTGTACCCCAGTGTTCATTGCAGCGCTATTTACAATAGCCAGAACATGGCCATCAGCAGAGGAATGGGTAAAGAAGACATGGTGTGTATATATAATGGGATGTTACTCAGCCATAAAAAGAACAAAGTAATGCCATTTGCAGCAACATGGATGGTCCTAGAGATTGTCATACTGAGTGGAGTTAAGTCAGACAGAGAAGGACAAACTGAGACACTGCTTATATGTGGGATCTTAAAAAAGGCTACAGTGAGCTTAGTTATAACACAGAAGTAGAGTCAGATGGAGAAAACCAACACGTTTGTTGGGATGGAGGAGGGATAAGTGGGAAGATCAAGACTGACATATACACACTACTATATATAAAACATAACTAGTAAGGACCTACTATACAGCACAGGGAACTCTACCTAATACTCTGCAATGGCACATGTGGGGAAAGAATCTAAAAAGAGGGTGGATATATGTATATGTAAATAAACACATAAGTATTTTTTTCATACTATTCATGGGGTTCTCAAGGCAAGAATACTGAAGTGGTTTGCCATTCCCTTCTCCAGTGGACCACATTTTGTCAGAACTCTCCACCATGACCCGTCTGTCTTGGGTGGCCCCACATGGCATGGCTTAGTTTCATTGTGTTAGACAAGACTGTGGTCCATGTGATCAGATTGGCTAGTTTTCTGTGATTATGGTTTCAGTCTGTCTGCCCTCTGATGCCCTCCCTCTCTCAGCGCCTACCATCTTACTTGGGTTTCTCTTACCTTGGACATGGGGAATCTCTTCACGGCCACCCCTCCTGACCTTGAACGTGGAGTAGCTCCTCTCGGCCCTCCTGCGCCTGCACAGCCACCACTCCCTGGACGTGGGGTTGCTCCTCTCAGCCGCCACCCCTGACCTCTTGAGAGTCCCTTGGACTGCAAGGAGATCCAGCCAGTCCATCCTAAAGGAGATCAGTCCTGGGTGTTCACTGGAAGGACTGATGCTGAAGCTGAAACTCCAATACTTTGGCCACTTCGTGGGAAGAGTTAACTCATTGGAAAAGACCCTGATGCTGGGAGGGATTGGGGGCAGGAGGGGAAGGGGACGAGACATGAGGAGATGGCTGGATGGCATCACCAACTCGATGGACATGAGTTTGAGTAAACTCCATGAGTTGGCGATGGACAGGGAGGCCTGGCGTGCTGCGATCATGGGATCACAAAGAGTCGGACACAACTGAGTGACTGAAATGAACTGAACTCAAGTATTTTTTTAAAGTTCTGATAATAATAATTAAAGAACAACTTCACAGTGGGGAAACCTGGCAGACATTACTTTAATTAAGTGACCAAAGTGAACACCTTATCAGCAAAATGCTGTGCTTAGTTGCTCAGTTGTGTCTGACTCTCTGCAACCCCCTGGACAGTAGCCTGCCAGCCTCCTCTGTCCATGGGATTCTCCAGGCAAGAATACTGGAATGGGTAGCCTTTCCCTTCTCCAGGGGATCTTCCCAACCCAGGGATCAAAACCGGGGATAGAACCCAGGTCTCCCTCATTGCAGGCAGATTCTTTACCATCTGAGCAATCAGGGAAGCCAAAGAATACTGGTAGTCTATCCCTTCCCCAGGGGATCTTCCCAACCCAGGAATTGAAC